GAAATCTTGTCAAAGCACTGATGCTTTCCTATTTCTCATTAGAGACACTGTTAAGCAGTTGTCATTGTACACGTTTAGTTGTGTTCAAGGAGTACTTTCATTGACTTTTTCCAACAGCGCATTTTACAGCAAAAGTGGTAAGTTAACTGTTCTTCTCTTACTCGGGTCACGTTCAAGGAGTACTTTCATTGACTTTTACCACTTTTGCTGTAAAATGCACTGTTGGAAAGTTAACTGTTCTTCTCTTACTCGGGTCATATTTGTGGTGCCTGGTCCTGCTGGCGGAGGAGCCTGTGGTTCTGGAGAAGACTTACAAAAAGATAATTTTGTCTGCTACTGCTTCTTGAAGCTGTGGTTGCGCAAACACCTTCAGCTGGCGTATGCCAGAGCTGCCAGCTAAGTGAGCCCCAAAGATCTCCTTCCCTCTGTCCTTCCCAGCTAAGTAAGACCGGGGGGCTATTCCAGTAAATGCTACTTTTTCTACCAAGTATAAAGCTAGACCTGGTCCCTGCCGTGGCTTCACGGAAAGTGTTGCCATCAAATGAAGGAGAGCAGCACAAGGTGGAAGTGTGAGCAGCTAAGGCTTTTTCTTTTGGTGGCTGAAAGCGTTCTTATAAAACAAAAGTCTGTCTGTCTTCCACAAGTAACTACTTGCACTTGTCTTTTAAAAACATTCTCACAGCAGCTGAGGATAGTGGGGCTCTAGTGACCTGTGTCTGTAGGAAGAAAGCTCTAAAAGTATTTTTTGTCACTATTTGAAGTGGAATTTAGCAAACCATTAAATAACTGAACTGACTTGTTGACATAATATTTCCTAAATTGGGATTAGTGATGGTAACTTAAGCTTAGGCATTGGTGTAACTTCTTAATGTTGTTTGTTACTGGTATGGTGTTTTGAAATCATTAATTCTGTCTGTAAAGTCAGAAAATGCAAAACTTTGTCTATTAAAATCTCAAAGCTTATTTCAAATTTAATGATCAGATGGGCTACATTGTGCCTTCCATGCAGCACAGGTATGGCACTGCCGGCCCCCTCTGCCTCCCACAAAAGGCTTGTTCTCTTGGGTGGTTGAGAACTTGGAAAACTACTGCTTTTTGAAGAAAGCTTGGTTTCATATTAAAATTTTAATTAATATTAGTAAGATTACTAAAATAATCTGCCAGGGTAGATCTGTCGGATGTAAATTTTGAGAGCTTCTCAATATGATGTTTCAAAGATGAGGTTTATTTTGAGAGTTGGGGTTAATACTCTCAAGATCTGTTTAGGAAGAAGTTGAGCTTAAGCTGCAATGACCTAGCAGACTTTTTTCCTAAACACAAATTAACGCTTGTTTTTATCTTGGTTTATCTGATTTGAGGTAAACCTCAATGACTTACTAAATTGCACCTCATTGTAGTGAACACTGTAAATGGTTTCCACTTTTAATGACTTGTGCATAAATTTCATAACTCTGGAATGCTTCTCTTGCTCATTTCCCTGCAAAAGATGCTGGTTTTGTCTTGTTTGAACAAAATCGTTTTAGCCTTTCAATTATGAAAGAAATGGATAAATTTCCCTTTGTGTTTGGCTACCCTTACTGTTTTCAGAAGGGCTAGAACCGTCTTTGCCTGCTTTGGAGAGGAAGAAAGGCTTCAAGATAATTTCACGCTAATAGTAAATGTTTCGCACACATGTTGGAAACTTCCTTAAATACAAGTACTTAGTTTGGAGGTAATCATAGATTAAAATGTATGTAATTGTGGCTAGCATCCCAAAATTCATAAACTACTGATGAAATCTAATTTTTCTTAACTGTAATTTCTTCTCGTAGAAATAAGGAAGCAAATTTTAGGAAGCTAGGTAAAATAAAAGAGTAAACCAATATAACTGGTACAAAGAGTTATATCAAGAGGAGGTAGGACAAAAGGAGGAAATAGCTGGAGAATAGCTAATCAAGAGGAGTAGGACAAAAGGAGGAAATAGCTGGAGAATAGCTAACTTAAAAGGAAACATAATATATGGCTTCACATAGTTTGTCTTCAAAGTTTTAGGCATTTTTTTCTTTTATAGTGAAAGATACCATCCCAAGTGTAACTGAGTACTTTAAGCCACAATTCTGAGCATCTTTTTTTTTTTTAATTCAGCGCATGATGGAGATGGTAATGACTAGATCACCTTAATATACAAAAACTATTTTATATGAAAAATGATCAGAGGCATACCTCTTCATGGATTAAATAGTGCTGCATCATGGACACAAAGTGACAAAATACTAATATATTGCAATATGTTTTTAATCATGTGAAGAATTGATTTAAGGTGTAGAGACCTTAAACTTCAGTGTCTTTTCCAAAAAACACCATACAGTCTTCCCTGCCTTTTCATAGATATCGTGAGACCTGACAAATGGATTATCATAAAACATATCTTACGTGCTGAAAAGCTATAATGAAACACCGTATCTTTATAGTATGGTGTAACAACTAAAACCACTGATTATTAACTAAAGATGTTTTTAAAGTGCCATTTGCTCCAACTTCACTATTCCCTATACTGTTTTTTCTGTGAACCCAGTTTAGGATGTTCTCATTCCCTCTTCCTTACTTCATGCTTGTTGGAGTCCATCTGTTGTGCCATACAGTTGTTGGTGGGGCCAAGCTGTAAATCAGGTCACCAGAATGATTCAGCTTAAAAATAAACCTACAATAAAAAGCTTGGAATTTGCTTTGTCAGCGTTCTGTTTAAATGCCTGCAGAGCATCACTGCTATTATCTAAGCCACCTCTTGTTCGTATTCAGTTTAGAAGTCGTGTATTTGCAGCTGGAACAAAATCTGTCTATTCTCAAAACTGCAACTGCAGCCTCAATCTGTCATGTTCTCATGTCCAATTTATCTCCTGTACCCTCTGATTAAAAGCACGTTGGTCCCATGTTTCACTTGAAATAGTGTGGTGGTACTCATTTCCCAAAAGTGTTTCATAGCTATTCCTGAGTTAATGGAAAACTTGTAAAACAACATGCATATGTGAAGTGGCTGCTGTCAAAAGAAAGTTGTTTTTTTCTGCTGGTATCTGTAGCTTGTAAATCTGAAAAATGGAAATCTTCCCCAATTGTTTTCTGTGCTTCCAGAAAACCTTGTTCTGGTGAAACTTCCACCAGTTTACTCTTCTCTTAGATGCACTTGTGGGTTTTGAGGGTGAGGAGGGCTTTGTTTTCTTCTCAGACTTGTGGAGTTCTGGAGTCTGGAATTGCTCTGCAGCAATTGAAAACTGCTTGCCAGGCTTCATTCACTGCCTCTGCTCTGACTACACTTGGGTTAAATAACATGAACTTCTTGAACTGTATTAGATAAAACTTGGTAGTGTACACTTTCTTCATGGTATTTAAGTGTTGCTATTGATATTTTGAAAAGCCTATTTCAAATGTGGTGGCATTGCTTCCTCTGGGGTAGAAAAAGTCGTCTCATGCCCCTAGCCTGTATCTGCTCGGTTGCGTTTGTTCTTACATTGCATTAGCTGAATTAATGTTAACTTAAGGGTTTGGGATTGCTTGTGTAATCGGAAGAGTGGGGAGAAATAAGTACCTGAAACAGTTTTGAAGCCAGGGTGATGGGGTGAGCTAGAGGTTTGTCTTGTACATGAGAAATACAGAAAAATCACAATGACAATGAGTTTCTTCAGCAATCCAGTACCATTCAGGAAACTTTTTTTGCACTTGGAGTTCCATTTGGAGGCATCCCTTTCTCCAGGAAAAAGGAAATTATCCTCTTCATAATTAGCTTGACCTACTGTGTTTTGAATTGGTTGCTAGGTCTAAGGTTGCAATAGAGATAAGCTACAACATAAGCTATATGCAGTTGTATCATTTTAAGTGCAATCAGTTACATTAAATATACAGTTATGGGTTTAAATACATGTGGGAGATAATCCAGGCCCTAATCCAGGTCTCGCTCTTGAAATCACTGAATTATATGATCACTTCTTGTAAGCTTCCAAGCTGTGTTCTACAATGATGTTTTGTTCTGCCATTGGGTGTTGTCCACACTGTTTTTGAAAAGTACTCTGAAGGCTCTATACTTTGTTTACAGCCTACGTGTGTTTAGTTATTATTCACTCTTCCTTTTGTCAGCATTTCCTTTTATGTAAATACAAATGTCCCAGTGTGACCAGTACAGCCCTAGAGTACAGGGAGCATTTCAGTGTGCTGGCACGTGTTCCTCTGGCGATGCCTGTTCTCCCTGCTCATCCTCTCTGAAGCTGAGGTCCTGGGACCCACCCTATGCTTAGCCCCTTGCACTGGGTCAGTTGGCACCGCAAGAGGTGTGTGTTGGATGTGGGGAGGAGGGTGGTGTTCTCCGTTGTCCCTTCTCCTCCAAATAGGGTTGGTGTGAAGAGTGTTTTCTGATGGTGTTTCTCTTCATAAAGTCAAGATTTTTACCTTTCAGACTTTGATTTCCTAGGCTAAGAGGGTGAAGATCTCTTAGTTTTTCCCAGCTTAACAAGTGCTTCTTTGCCCACGGTTGCCAAGCCCTACCAGTAGCCACGTTCAGTGCCGCTTTTAGCTTCAAGTCATCTTTCTTGAACGTCGTTCTCAAATGTTCAAATGTGCTCATGCCTCTGGTTTGTACAATGGCACCATTTCTAATGGAAGTATATAGGGTTGCCTTTTGTTTTTCAGCTGCTTTGAATGTTTGGTAGAATTACATGGCAAAGTATGCGGTGTGAATAAATCATTAGATTTACGCGACCATATTTACTTTGTAACTAAAATATGTATCAGTATATTATAGCTGTAGTGTGCAAATACAAACATCTGCTTGGACTCCATCCTTAGCAAGTGACTTGCAAAAGGTTGTTCTGGGTATTAGTCAGTTGTTGACAAATGTTTATTGCATGAGGAAAAACTACCTGGAGTTATAATTTCACAGTAGCATGTACTCATTGATAATTTCTATACGTAAACCTGTAAATTTTCTCCTATGTATATTTAGTAACCAGATCCTGCTTTTGTTTTACAGCTGCTGCAGAGGGCAAAGGGAAAAGTGGGGAAGACTTTTTTCAGAAGGTAAGAAAGATATTTTAATTCTACAACATCAATTGACTAGAGGAAAAATTAGGCCCATTGCTCATTCATGAGATCAACTAATTAAGCGTAGTGTGCAGTTTCCACTATGTTGATCAAATCTTTTAAAAATGTTTTTGTCATTTAATGTGTCTACTAACCATCAGCTGTGCATGGAATGTGATGAGAAATATGTTCTTTTGTGTGTGCTACTGTCATTCATGCACAAAACTTAATTATTCTTTAACGGAAAATGTCAAAATACGCATTATGAAAGTTTATTTTGCTTAGTAGCAGGGGCTTCATCCAAAAGATGTTGTGAGGTGGTCTTAAGGTTTTTATGTCAATGGATAAATGCTACATCCTGTTATTGAAAAACTAACATGAAACTTATTGTGATATTGTTGAAAGCATAAATATTTGGTTGAGAAATGCAAAGGCCTTTTAAGAAAGAAATGCACCATCCACAGAGTGATTCAATAAAGTTTGTGGTTAGACAGAGGCACGGAAGGACTGGAAAAAATAGTCCTGCAGCAACTAAACTACAAAGAGAAACATGGTCAAGAGTAATGACTTTGAAATTACTTTTGCAAAGCAATATTTTTTTCAAGAATAGTGTATAAAATATTATTTAGGAGTTATGTTAATGACTGCTTATAGAATGCTAATGAAAATGATGAGCTGTTTTGCTGTACTATAGAGAAGACAGTGTAAATTTTCATGCTGTATACTGAAATGCCTTGAAACTCCTTTTTGACTGGTTGTCTGTTAAGCAAGTACTTTGCCGTATTTTCCATGTTTTCTTCATATTTATAAGCGATACTTGTAAAAGGTCTCTTTTTAGATGTGAAAGAATACTTTATCCTGCACGTAGTTGTCAGATGCTTTGATGAAGGCTGGTGGGGAGGAGCATGTATACTGCCAAAATGTTTGTTTTAGAAAGTATTTTATGGGAGTTTTCAGATTATGTTGCTCTTGACAATGAAAGTTACTTTTCTGAATGTGGTGCTTGTGCTTAACTGTCTAATATTAGTGTGCACAGAGGAGAATGTGTCAAAAATTCTTCCTTAGGATTTTATCAAAATGCATGGGTGTTTTTTACTTGCTGCAACAAAGCTAAGCCATAGTAGCATGTAATTCATTCTACACATCATTCATTTTACAACACAGTGTTTTCTCACACTTGTATAAATCTCGTCATAATTCTTGAAGCTGTAGACAAAATATTTCCTCTGTGGGACTGAGTGGCTTATATATTTGACATACGTATTTGGATACTCGATTATTTACTGTAGATATGATGTACCTTACAATTATGTAGTTATTAGTGTAATAGCAAAAAATGCTGTTTTGAATTTAATAGGAAAGCGAAATGTGCTAGCACTTCAAGTATGTGAATAAGAGTACGCTACTTATCCATACTGATAATGGATGTAGTGGCTATTTTGGCATTAATATATTGTCATATACATGCATAATTATATAGGCACAGTGTGGATGCTGCAATAGGTTAAAGCTGCTTCATTATGACTGGCATTCTTCTTACAGTCTCATCAACTCTATAGTTTAGATTACTGAAGCTTCTAAGTGCCTACACATGATACTACAGCTAATAAAAACAGATGGAAACGATCTTCTTTGCGAGTTTTCTTTTGTTCAAAAAAATCTTTGGACAGTTGCTCATAGCTTACTCACCGTCTCTGTCTGTGCAATTTCCTTTAATCAGGGTTAAGCTTTTTCCTTTCTCATGTGAAATGAATAAGGCAGAGTTTCTGGAGGTAAAATGAAGACTCTTTTCATGTGTTCCAGGTTGTGTAGTGAGGAAGAAAGTGATTTGCAGCATTAGAAACACATTGCAAACTAAGGTGGCAAGATACTTTCAGAAACTTAATATGAATTCGAAGCAATAGTAAATGCATTTTTTTAATAGTTTTGAAAATGAGACTTTCTTCAGGGCATTATTGGCAGGCTTTTGAGTGGAATGGGAAGGGGAAGCGCATCATTTAAGAGGCACGTCAAGAACTGTGGGTGTAATTTGCATAAATAATGCCATGTATAGTATTTTCTGACAAACTCTACCCTCAATGTGCTGAAGTTATGGTTGGGTGGAAGGGGTGTGTGAGGTGAAAGAAGTTTTCATATGAATGCTGAAATGATAGAAGTAACAAGGCAAAGATTCAAGAAGGTGATTCTATATGTCAAGACATGCAGACCAAGAGGGAGGAGAGAGGAGGACGGTACTGGAGGGAGTGAGACAATGCTGATTTCTTGCAGGTGGCTCTGTAAGTGGCTGCTGGGTCTTGCTTGGTGGCTGGTCAATGGGGGACAGCACTCAGTTCTTTATTAACTTGCCCTCAGGAGGAACAGAAGTTGCTCATACGCTCTCTGAGCCAGGCTCGAAATCAGGGACTTGGCCTGGATTGTTAAGCTACATGTAGTATGCTCTAATGAATCTGTCATGCTTTTAAAGACAGTTAACTTAATATAAGGTTTTGGTGCTAAGTGGTCTTTTTACTGGTCTTCAAACATGTGAGCAAGCAGTATTACTTTCTTGGATTTTCATAATCAAGTGGTCTTTTACTGGTCTTCAAACGTGAGCAAGCAGTATTACTTTCTTGGATTTTCATAATCAAGCAGATGCTCAGTGGATGTGAACTGGTCCTATCAACTTTTAACTTATGAAGTTTAATAATAAGAATTTAAATGTCAAAATGCATTATTTCACTGAGCATTTTAGCAGCAACAAGCACATGTTCTACAGTTGCTGGTGGAGTTAAAGAATAAGCCCCAGTTCTTGGCTGCAAGGGGCAAATTAAGCTAATATTTCTGCCCTGTCATGGCGGGGGAGATCAAGTGAAGTACCCCTTCCTCTGCTCCTGAATTAAAGTGAGAAGTAGATAAATGTTTTTTTGGTAGTGTCACTTTAAAAAATCTGAAGACTTTAGCATACTTTCTTCTAATATTTCTAATATTAAGTTTTAGTACTGCTTCAAAGGGGGGAAAACCTAACGTAGTCTAATGTGGATTTTTCAAAACCACTGGGAGCTGCTAATAATTTAGCAAGAAATAAGTAAATAATGTGATAGTTTTCTCTCTAGAGCTCTCTGATCTGCAGTTCAGTGACAGGTAATCTTAAATAAACATGGATTGGTTTGCTGTTGTGTTACATACTATTTATGTAAAAGATCCTTGTGGACCTTGCTCTATATATTATTGTCCTAATTTATTCCGTGAGAGTAATACATAATATGAAGTTATTACTTGTTCTTGATCCAAAGCCCATTTTCAGTTGATGGTGAAATTTTTCCACTGAGTTCCATAACATCTGGTTCACGCCTCATAGGCAAGCAAGGCCCTTCCTAGACAAAGCCAGGACATTGTTCCAAGGAACATATAATTTATGTAGCACTATAGATATGCATGGCACTCTTATATAAAATGTAAGAAGGTGGTGGGTCTCTGCCCTGAAGAGTTCATAATCCAAAACAGATGAGGGTCAGCTGTGTGGACAGAGGGGAATTTAATGCATAATTTCTGTTTGCTTTTAGTTCTTGTCTCATCAAGTCTTTTCTTAAACACTTGGAAATCTTACTGCTGATGATAACCTTTCATTCTGAAATTTCTCAGGGCAAGAGTGTACATCTAGCCTTACCATGGGACTGTCAACAGTATGGTGGGCGATAGGTGAAGGTTGTGGGTTTAGTAGAAGTTGGGTGGAGTTCTTGGTCTAACGTGGGACTGCATGTGCAGAAGGTAGTGACTGGAAATGATGCACACATGGTGCTCTGCCCAAGTGCTTGACTCTAGGTCAGATGTACGCTGCTCATTTCAGCATAATTCAGTGTGTATGTCTGTTAGTCATGGGCTTTTGGAGTATTTCTGAAGGGGCTCCTCAGCTTTTCCTTTGCTGGCTTTCAGCAGTTTGTTTGCAGAATTTGGTTGCGTGGAAGGCACAATATACTACCAGCCAGCTGTAACTTGTGGGTTTTATTGTTTCTGAATGTTTGAGATTATTTAGGTTTTATGGTTTTGGGCTGGGTTTTTTTTTTTTTTAATCAATGAGAAATGATCTTTGTAGGAATATATTCACTTGCACAGTTGCAGATACTTGGGGGTTTTTAAGATATCACTGGATTTAGGCAAAATGTGTGTTTAAATGCTTGTGCTTCTCTTGATTGCAGACTCTCTTCTTCCCTGAAAGGGATGTAATCATGCTTGAAGTGTGAAGATGCAAATGGACAAATGTTGCATCTTTGTACCAAAATCTCTTCTGTTAATTATTAGGAGCTTAGGAGTGTAAAGGAAGACTATGGTTTTCTCTTTTCATTTTCCTTCCTGTCCTTACATGTAACATGTTTCATCTGTAGCTTCTTATTTTGTTAAATGAGTAGCACCTTAAAAGATACTGAGGCCATTTTGGAAGTAATATTTGGTGAAACCATCCTTTAAAATGAGTTACTGTTCCAGTATACATATTGGAAACAATAGCAGTAAGAGACTTAAAAACAAAACAAAAAAAATTGCAATTATTTGAAGACGTGAAAAATGGGTATATCTAATTGCATCTTTAATCACCTTTCTGTTAAATTCCTCTTCTGTATGCAGCAGTTATTAATGAGTGTACATTACCTTATAGTTGTTTAGGAGGCTCTGGCAGCAAAGGCAGTAAGGAAGCTGCCTCAAGACCACCTTGTTTATCTAAGACAGTAAAAGAGCTTGTTTTGCAACATCCTGTATTTTCACTTGTATCTTTGAAGAATGTTTGTTAGGTTGATCTGGGGCAAACCTTGTAACTTTTGCAAAATTCTTATGTGGGAATGTATTGATACAGTGTTTATCTATACATGAATGCTTTTGTAAGTATAGATAGTATATACTGATAGAACTTTTTTTAGTTAAATTTATTTCTATTTTTCTGTCTGCAGTAGGTCAGGCTGAAAGTTGATCGGTCTTCCTTTTTAATCTCTGAACATGAAACGTGTAGGTAGAGCTTCAAATGTGAA